AGCAGGCTGTTTGTATTGTTAAAGCTCTAAAAGGTTCACCATCACTTCTACAGGCTATATGTGTATAGTGAAGTCTATAATCTGGCCTAAGACTCATGGTTCCACAGGGGAAAACTAGGGCCATTTTTCTGTATAATAAATGTGTTACAGCACAGTCATGCCAGATAGAAACTAATAACATCCTGGATCTTTTGGTTAGTGGTTTTGTCACCCAGATTGAAGTATTTAGCTGCTCAAAGCCTTTAGTTTTCTCCTATATAAAAAGGAGAATAATAACACCATGTCCTAAATTTTTTGTGATAATTTAATAAGACTTCCATGTAAGTATTTAGACAATGCCTTGCATACAGCAAACACTCCATGAACCACATTAATATTAAATACGACTATTATGAGCCCATGTACGCTCATTACTATGTTGTTTTGATGCTAATTCTGAAAGAAGTTGAAATTACTGGATCATAGAAACATATCAAAAGAGAACACATGGGAACTGATATTTATTGCAGCCTAGTATGAGACAGCCCAATGTTAAGTAGTTTGCTAGGGGTTTCCGATAACATTCCATGTCATCTTATGAGCTACGTTATCATTTGTTTACCTATAAGAAATCTGGGGCCTAGAGAGATTATGTAACTGGAAGTCAGACTACTAACAAAGAGTGGAACCAATAGTGTGAACAGAGAGGGAATGAGGAGATTGTTCACCAGGTAGTACTGGGCCTGATGACTTTTTGGAGCAGTACACACAGTGTCAGATACACAAAGGTGATATACAACTTACGGATACAGCCAGTGGGGGAGTCAACTGGAACCCCATGAGGGCGGTAATAGCCCTCAGCGCACTCTTCACAGTTCACACCTGCTGTGTTGTGCTGGAAAGAAACAAACAAAACTCAGGAGGAAGGACACTGAAGAAGTCCAGTGCTCTCTATTTTGTGAGATTCACCCAGATAAATACTAATTCTATCATCTCCAGTTGTAATTTCAAAGTCACTAAAAACAGAAGCATTGATCCTGACCTTGGGTCTCCAAGATGTGCCACAGGATACTGGCTTAACCTTGGTTCTGAATTTTTTTTTTACTATTAGAAGAGGAAATGATGAAAAGATTCATGAACTACACACCCCAGGCTGTGCCTTCCACCAAAGAATGTACTGTAATGAAGCACTTGACATTTGAGTAAGAAAAAAAACTCAAGAACTAGTTCCCACAGCTTCATTCAGAAGAAGTGATGAATGAATAATAAAGCAACTTTAGCTTAACCCAAGGAATAAAAAGGTCATGTGTGCATATATATCTTCTCTAATTTTGGAAGAAATAGCACATACAGACCTTCATATCTAGCCATTCTAATTTTAGCAGTGCTTTCGTCATGAATCCATTTGCTGAACAGTTCTATTATATGAACAGAAAATGTAGCCATGAGTATCAGGCACAGAGCTCATTTTAAAGTATGATACTAGGCAGCTTTTCCTAGTTGTGGTTAATCTTTGTAAATGCCACAAAATCAATTACCCAACATGCACCACGAGTTTCCAAGCACTATACCCCGTGGCTCTAGCTTGATTCTACCTCTCTCTAATTTGGAAATGATTGGGAGGACCGTGTTCTTTCTTTACTGAAAGGAAAGGCAACAGGAAATTAACAAGAACAAAAATAACATACTTTGACTCA